TCCTGGCTGCTACTCTGCCCTGAGGCAGGCCACTTATGACTGCCCTCTTTGTTGGCCTCCCCCACATGGATCCTTAGCCCTTTCCATGCTGCCTCCCCACTTTGATTGGCCTCCACCTTTAAGCTCCTTTCTCCAGTAACTCTCATTCCCCCCGGAGGCCTTCCAGCAACGTGGCCATACTGGGCTCTCCCTCTGCAGTTTCATGTTCCTGGAGAAAAGGCAACATGGAAAGCCTCTTTGTCTGGTTCCCTGGCCAGGTTGTACCCTGGTATGTTCATGGAATTTATCGCTTATTGCTGTGGCCTTCTGTGAAAATAAGTTGTAACGTTTGGCCCCTGAACTGGTAGGGCTTGCTCTGTCAGTCAGTACCTGGCCCCTGTGGTTGTGTGCTGGGTTCTGAGACAGCTGTTGCCAGTACAGCTTCCAGGGCAAAATGAGTATAAATGAGATTGTTTCAAAGGGAGCCCATGACCTAAAGAATCCTGGAGAAAGCTCTTTTTTGTTGTTGTTTAGCGGAGGACTACTCCCTAGTTGGTCACTCACCAAGAGCAGAACGTCACCCCTCCCCACTAATTCTTAGTACCCCTTTCTCCATCCTGGACAGGAGTGAGTGGGAGGAAGCCCTGCTGTGAGAGCAGTGCCTGAGGGTGATGCAGCAGACACGAGAGGGTCAGATGTCTGGGTGCACAGAGTCGCGTTACCACGTGTGTGATGTGTAGGCAGATTTTTACTGTAGGCAAGAGTAAGCCAGGCCCACATGACTCCAGATTATATCTGGTGGATCATATAGCTCCAGCAAGTTCTGGAAGCTACTGAAGAGTTTTAATAAGCTAACTTCAGGTGGTCTCTAAAATATCCTGAAGCTTGTCTCTTAGTTTAGACAAAGGACAGGGCAGTTCTGGCAAGACAGACCTTTCTCAGGGGGTTGAAGTCATTTATTGTATGTACTGATGCCTCCTGTCATTCAGTCCAATCTCCTGGTATTTCCCTCATTAGTCAGGAGCCCGGCTGAGGCCTCTGCCCCATCGGGAAGCCACTATCCTGTAGGAACATTATAAAACGTGCGATCTGAGAGCAAGGAGACCCCTTGTTAGTAGATTGTTTAAGGCTAATGACCTGGGAGATAGTGTTGGTCTAACACAGTCATGTTCACCAGTCTGAGCAGTCTCATCAGGCTGAAAAGGATAAGCTGTCTCTCTCCTTTGATGGTCAAAGCAGAATCTCCCACCCCACTTTATCCCCAGAGGGTTAGAAGGAATGATGTGTGAAATCCAGAGTCTGTAGAAATGAACACCAGGTAGACCTGCATGCTGTGATACAGATGCCCATCTGGCAGGTGCAGACAGGGTTGAGCCCTAGGAATCCAAACTTGTGCATATGCCGGAGCCTGGGCCAGTGTTTTCTTTGACATGATGGATGTTTTCAAAGAGTGGTTTATCTTTAGTCATTACTTAAAAGGAGTTTTCCCTATCTTTTCCCCTAGTCTATTACTCCCTTTCTCTGTATTTGGCAACATGTTGTATATAGTTTACAATCCATTATTTTAAACTGGTTTGCATTCTTTTCTTTCACATGTGCTGCCCTAGTTCTCATAATGAACTTCTGTAGTGCAGGGGGAAAAGCATGATTTTTCAGGCAAATTAATAAGCTTATGAAGGGGCTTGGCACCTAGCTCAGTGGCTAGGAGCTGGTGGGTTCAAATCCAGCCCGGGCCTGCCAAACAACAATGACAACTACAACTAAAAAAAATATATATAGCCAGGTGTTGTAGTGGACACCTGTAGTCCCAGCTACTTGGGAGACTGAGGCAAGAGAATCACTTAAGCCCAAGAGTTTGAGGTTGCTATGAGCTGTGACGCTATGGCACTCTACCCAGGGCAATATAGACTCTGTCTCAAAAATAATAATAAGTTTATGAAGGGACTGCTTATTCACACTGAGAAAATAACCACCTACATTTTGTCCTTTCAGAAGTACCATTTCCATGAAAATCACTGAACTTCAAACCTTCTTACTGGCTACTAAAGGGCCACTGGCCACATGGTTAATCTACTTAAAGTCTGTGTGTATCCTCTTGAGTTACTTAGGAGTGTCTCCTGAATAGTTTATAACAGTTTACCACTCCCACCCCTCCAGGATTAAGTGGGTTCCTTCTTTTTTATAAGTGTATCATCAAAACAGAGATATGGTAGGCCCAGTGACATGTGCCTATTGTCCTAGCTACTTAGGATGCTATGGTGGGAGCATCACTTGCCCCCAGGAGTTTGAGACCAGTATGGGCAACATAGCAAGACCTCATCTCTAAAATAAATGAACAAATTAGCCAGGCATGGTAGCAAGTGCCTGTAGTCCCAGCTTACTCAGGAGGCTGAGGTGGAAGGAACCCTTGAACACATGAGTTTGACCAGATGAGCAACATAACGAGACCCCCAACTCTTAAAAAAAAAAAAAAAAAACAGAGTTAGTTTGCCGCCCACTCTTTTTTTTTTTTTTTTTTGGCGGGCCTGGGCTGGATTCAAACCCACCAGCTCAGGTGTATGTGGCTGGTGCCTTAGCCGCTTGAGCCACAGGTGCTGAGCTGCAGCCCACTCTTGCCCCAGCATCATCTTATTCCAGCACCTCCCTCAAGACCATATTGTTTGATAAGGGAGGGGGCAGAGCTCTGGCCACTGAGAGAGTTTTTTTTTTTTTTTTTTAGACAGAGCCTCAAGCTGTCCCCCTGGGCAGAGTGCCGTGGCATCACAGCTCACAGCAACCTCCAACTCCTGGGCTCAAGCGAGTCTCCTGCCTCCGCCTCCCAAGTAGCTGGGACCACAGGCGCCCGCCACAACGCCCGGCCACCTTTTGGTTGCAGCCGTCATTGTTGTTTGGCGGGTCCGGGCTGGGGATTCGAACCCGCCACCTTAGGTGTACGTGGCTGGCGCCTTAGCCGGTTGAGCTATAGGCGCCGAGCCCCACTGAGAGAGTTTTTAGGAATAGGGCAAGAAGTAGCAGTTGGGAGTTGTGAGCTAGATTCAGCCTTCACCCTTTTTCCAGTCTATGGGCTCAGCTTTGCCCATCATAGTGAAGATTTGCCTATAAATGTCTTTATGTACAGTTTCTTAAAGAGCCACAGGTGAGGATGTGACTCCATGAAGATCTGTGTCTCAGCAGGACTCAGTCACTCTTCTCCTTGTCCCTCTGTCAGTCTTCCCCCTCTTGTGCTATATGCGTTCATCTGTCTTATAACTTGTTCTCATGTTGGTTCTAGAGTCAAATAATCTTGGAATTGACTCTCTTGGAGTCCTAGTTACCCCTTTTTCAAAGTGAGCGTTAGAGCCCTTCACTTCCATGGGAACCATGTGGCACTCAACATGTACTGGTGCCCGTGGACACTGATAGCAACCAGTAAAGGGCCCTCAGGCAGCGTGTGTCAGAAGCATGCCTGCGGGTACCCATCCCCTCAGCAGTTCTAATACTGTCGATGCTGTGACTATGGCAGCACCTCTGTGTGTGCGTGCTTATTCATCATAGTATTGTTTGTAATAGCAAAAGATTAGCGATAACCCAAATATTTATTAATAAGAGACCAGTGAAATAAACTAGAATGTGTTCTTATGCTGACATACAGCACTGGGCAGTGATGAAAAAGAAAGGAAGCTCTCCGTGCTTAGTTAAGTCCTCACCTGACGTTGTAAGATAGGTTCTTGGAACTGTGACTCTGTGCTACAAAAGGACCTGCAGCAAAACCACTTTTGCCATAGTCTGATTGACACAAACAGGAGTTCTGTTCTGTAATATGTTCCTGGTCACAAAAATTTCGCCAAACTTATAAATGAAAACCCAAAACACTTCTAATGTTACACATTTAGATAAATGTGAGCTATACAGCACATTTAAGAAAGGTGAATAAAAGCAAGTAGAATAATTATTTACCTACTTATTCTAGTTCAGGGTCACAGATAGCCAGAGCCTGTCTCAGCAGTTCAGGGTGCCGGGCAGCAGCTGACTATAGGTCAGCTATAGTATACTATAGTATAGTATAAAATAGTATATTTTATATTTGAGCCATATATTATTACCTGTCATCAAAAAAATTGTTTTTCTGATTAGTTCCTGCTCTATCTGGTGGTTGTGAAAATTAAAGGAGTATACCCATGAAGTGTTTACTCTTCTTTAGAGTCACCTCTGAATTGGCCTGCAGCCTCGTGTGCCCAGGCAGACAGGGTGGAGTAAGACCCCTTACTCCGGGCCGTCTCAGGGCACGGTGGTGCCCACCTAGGTTGTGTTTTTGGTGAGCCAAGGAGGATGGCCCACCGCCATGGCCACCTCCCTCTCTGCAGGCTCCCCTGCCTCTATCAGCAGCCACCTCTTACTATCGCTTTGCCTTCTGTCTGTGAGGAAACAAAGATATTTCTGTCCAATTTTGAGCTTTGAGGTTGACACAGTGCACACTAAGAGGCTGCTGACATCCTGGGCACTGGCATGCCCCTTGCTTCCCCTTCTAAATCCTCCCATCGTTGGTCTTCCTCCTATAGGTGTTTCAGCCCCCAGCCACATCCTACCAGTGCTCCTGGCAGCAGCTCTTGCTGGCACACTTAAGCCAAACAGAACTGCTCTGGGACTGAGCATGGGAGTGCCAACCAGGCCTCTTACCCAGTGGGGTTGAGCCAAAGGGACAGAGTGAAAAGGCTTGACTTTAGTTTGGACCTATATTGACCCTCCTGAGTGCCTGCTCAGGGGGGATGGTACCGGCCACTGTATGTAAAAGCAGAGGACAAAATGATGTATGTCTGCTTCCCCTTTGGAAGGGTCTAGGGCCAAAGAAAAGGTGGACCTCACTGTTCCCCTGAGGAAGTAGCCACCATTTGTTTCCTTTTTTTTTGACCAAAAAAAAAATGTTTGCCTTAATCATTAAAAAGCAAGGTTTCTTGGACACAGGTGTAGAACTTTTATGTTTTTCTCTTCCCTTTTTCTAGGAAGCCGAAAGCTTTAAGGGAACCCTGACCTAGGGAGTCTCAATGGCCCTGGGTGAAGAAGAAGCAGAGGTGGAAGCATCTGTAGGCACCAAGGCCGTGTCCTACAGGAGATGTAGCTGTGGGGAGCCAGAGGGGGATACCCCAGAGCCTGTGAGCAGGGAGCAGCCCCACTGCCTGGAAGTGGCGGGAGGACCCATCTCCCCTGTGTGGGGGGCAGAGAAGCCCCCTGCCCCTGCCTGCACCTCTGGAGCCAACAGAGAGCTGGTGGCTGATGGTCCTGAGCCTGCCCCTCGTTGCCTGCATCCTCCTGCCAGCGCGGGGACTGGAGACTTTTTGCACTCTGTGGGAAGCCAGGTAGGTATTAAGGACTGTGTATTGACCCTGTGCTCTCCTTGGGAGTTTGTTCCTGCATTTCCTTGCCATCTTGCATCCTTTCCTAGCCACTGTAGGATGGGAAGCTAGAGGAGCCTGGGTGTGATGATTTCTGTTCTACAGAAATCTGAGCCCAGGCTCGGCACTTGTGGTTCAAGTGGCTGAGGCACCAGCCATGTACACCTGAGGTGGCAGGTTCCAATCCAGCCCAGCCCGCCAAACAGCAATGACGGCTGCAACAAAAAAATAGCCGGGCGTTGTGGCTGGTGCCTGTGGTCCCAGCTACTTGGGAGGCTAAGGCAGGAGACTCGCTTGAGCCCAGGAGTTGGAGGCTGCTGTGAGCTGTGATGCCACGGCACTTTACCCAGGGGAACAGCTTGAGGCTCTGTCTCAAAAAAAAAAAGAAATCTGAACCTGTTTTACAGGTTCACTTAGAGAGCTGGGCCTCAGGGCCGCAGGGGCTCTGTCTGCAGCATCTCCTGTTCCTCAAGGGTGTGAACAATGACCTTTTTGAGGACTAGGCTATCTGGCCAAGACTCTGCTGACCTGAAGAGTAGGGCAAGAGAGCTCTGGCAAAGGGAGCCCTGTCCTGTTTCTGAATTGGGGAGGACCTGGAAGAGATCTGGGAATGGAGGGCCAAAGGCCGTGGGCTCCTGGGTTCTGAGACTGGTCTTTGGAACCAGGGGACCTGTCAGCCTTAGAGCCCCTGTGGTTGGCAGCACAGTCCCTTGCGGAGTTTTTCTGTTTGTTTGGGTTTTTTGCTTTGAGACACAGTCTCAAGCTGTTGCCCTTGGTAGAGTTCCGTGGTATCATAGCTTACAGCAACCTCAAACTCTTGGGCTTAAGTGATTCTCTTGACTCAGCCTCTCGAGTAGATGGGACTATAGGCGCCTGCCCCAACACCCAGCTATTTTTGGTTGCAGTTGTCATTGTTGTTTAGCAGGCCCAGCCGGGCTTGAACTCACTGAGCTATGAGCGCCGAGCCACTGTTCCTTGTTAAGGAAAACTTGGGCTTCCCTGACTCCCAGGCAGCCTCTTCTAGTGGGAGATACACAGGACAGAGACTTCTACCAGCTTCTATGACTATAAGCAAATCACCAAATCTTTCAAGCTTTCAGCATAATTGGGAGGGTGACCTTAATGATCTGTCCCTCCCAGCCCTGACTTCCTTTTATAGTCTGTTTGCCAAGGCCTTTCCTGAGAATGGCTTTGATTTCAGTGTCATTGTGGCCCTGGCTGCTGCCCACTTCCCTCATGGAGCACTATCCTGGGAGGAGGCTCTGAGTGAGACTGGGAGATGACGGAGGCTGGGCCTGGGAGCAAGGGGCAGTGGGAGGCCCTGGCACCTGTGAGCCAGAGAGTCAGTGAGGCAGGAAGCAAATAAGCAGACCCAAGAGTTTTGTTCCCTGAGTTTGAGTCTGGTGCTTATGGCCATGATGGGTGTTGTTTGTTGATTCTATGTGCTTTTCACACATGAGCTGATTCAGTCCTCACCTCCTGAGGAGGTGGTGCTATATCAGCCCCATTTCACGGAGATGGGAGGTAAAGCTCAAAGTCATGCATTGGGAAGGTGGCAGAAGTTGGGGTTGACGTCAGATCTTTCTGGTTCCAAAGTCTGTGCCCTTAGCCACAGTGCTGTCCTGCCTCCCTCAGGGGTAAGTTCTCCATCGAGCAGATAAAAAGTCCAAAGTGAAAAAGCTGAGATGAGTGACTCATTCTGCCAGTGTTCAGTTATGCTGACGTGTGAGCTGAGCGAGGTGGTGCCTACTGGCTTTGCCTACTGGCTTTGGATGTCTCCTGTTAGCAGGAGAACGATTGAGGGTTCCATCTGCTGGAATGTGCTTCTCAGGGCTTAGGCAGTGTATCCAAGAACAACTTTGAGAGGGCTGGGGACAGGGTTGACTGAGAGAGGACACAGTCACAGAGCAGGCTGGTCTCAGTAATGCTGGCAGTATTTAGAGATTTTTCCTACCTTCTGGGCCCACAAGGAAGCTCTTTTTCTTTTGAGACAGAGCCTCAAGCTGTCCCCCTGGGTAGAGTGCCATGGCATCATAGCTCATAGCAACCTCCAACTCCTGGGCTCAAGCAAGTCTCCTGCCTCAGCCTCCCAAGTAGCTGGGACCACAGGCACCCACCACAATGCCCAGCTATTTTTTGGTTGCAGCCGTCATTGTTGTTTGGTGGGCCTGGGCTGGATTCGAACCTGCCACCTCGGGTGTACGTGGCTGGCGCCTTAGCCACTTGAGCCACGGGCGCTGAGCCGAAGCTCTTGAGTTATCTAAGAAAGATATTTAAGCTGAGCACAGTGGGTCATGCCTATAATCCTAGCTTTCTAGGAGGCCAAGGCAGGTGAATTGCTTGAGCTCAGGAGTTTGAGACCAGCCTGAGCAAGAGTGAGACTCCCCATTTCTACTAAAAATAGAAAAATGAGCAGAGCACCTGTAGTCCCAGCTACTTGGGAGGCCGAGACAGGAAGATCACTTGAACCCAGGAGTTTGAGGTTGTTGTGAGATAGGCTGACTCCACGTCACTTTAGTGTGAGCAACAGAATGAGACTCTGTCTTAAAAAATAAATAAATAAATAAAAATAAAACAGGCATCTGGTTTGATGACTTTAACCTGAGTGCTTTTTCCATCCCTCTTACCACTACAGATGGAGGAATCCAAGCTTTCTACCTCTGGGGAGCTACCTCAGACTCTTACTCTTCCCAGGACTACAGCTCTTTGCTCAGGACACAATGCTGACACCGAAGAGAATCCATCCCCAGATGATTTGCCTCAGGTGCTGGACCTCAGCCAGCAGCCTCACAGCTCAGGGTTCCCTTTCCCATCCCAGCAGAAGGCCATGGTGAGCCAAGGTGCCACTGTTCCTCAGCTTTCCAGCTGCAACAACTCAGCCTCCTCTATGGGCAGCAGTTTTCAGAGTCAACAGGAGAAAGTGGAGACCCAGAATTGCTCCCTTGCCAAGGCCACCTCCTCCCAGAAGCTGGTTGTTCCCCAGGAACGGAATCCCTCTGTGGTGGGACTAGGGCCTCAGTTCAAGTGGTCACCACAGCCTGTGGTCTCAGGGGGTGATGCTCCTGGGCTAGGCCAGCGGCGCCTCTCCTTCCAGGCTGAGTACTGGGCCTGCGTGCTGCCGGACTCCCTGCCTCCCTCACCTGATCGCCAGTCCCCTCTCTGGAATCCAAATAAAGAGTATGAAGACCTGCTTGACTATACTTACCCACTGAGGCCTGGGCCTCAGCTCCCAAAGCACCTTGATAGCCGAGTGCTGACTGACCCTGTCCTGCAGGACTCAGGTGTAGACCTGGATAGCTTCTCTATCTCCCCAGCAAGCACCCTCAAATCACCCACTAATGTCTCCCCCAGTTGCCTACCAGCAGAGGTCACTGCGCTGCCATTTTCTGGGTCGAGAGAGCCAAGCATTAAGTGGTGGCCCTCTGGTGTACCCCAGAAGCAGGGCAGCATGGGCTTGGCATCTTGTAGCCAGCTCACATCTACCCCCAGAGCCCCAGGCAGTAGGGATGCTCCTTGGGAGAGCAGAGTGCCAGCCCTGAAGGGAAAGGACTGGTCATACATGGGCAAGAACCTTGAGGTGGGTTCTCCCCAGCAGAGGAAACAGGACAGCGGGTGGCCCTCATCTAGGACAGAGAACCAGAAGGCCAGCCAGGGTAACTGGCATCCTGCTTATGCAGAGTCTAGATGGAAAGCAGAAGAGGAAGTGGAGAGTGATGACGAGTACCTCGCCCTGCCCGCTCGGCTCACGCAGGTTTCTAGTTTGTTTTCATACCTGGGTTCTGTTCCCACCTTGGTTACCCTGCCTACCCGGGCTGCCAAAGGGCAGAGCTCCCTGGAAGTGTCAGACAGTGATGGGCCAGCTTCCTTCCCGTCTGACTCCAGCCAAAGCCAGCTTCCCCCTGCGGCTGCACTGCGAAGGCCTGGTGAAACTGAGGGACAGAACCACTGTTTCCTGCGCTCCATCATCCGTGCCCGGGACTCTGCAGAGGAAGGGAGTCTGGTGAGCAGCCAGGCCCTTGGGGTCACCTCTGGACTATTGAAAACACACCCCTCCTTGCCAGCTATGTTGGACCGGTGGTCATTCTCAGACCCAAGCGCTGAAGGGCAGCTTCCCAGGAAAGGTGGCGAGCAGGGAAAAGAGTCGCTGGTGCAGTGTGTGAAGGTAAAGACATCCAACATGAAGAGGCTCCGTGGCCAGGTTTCTCATCTCTTCTTCCCCAGTCTACTACATAATAAAACTTGCTAATGTTCATTGACCACTTTTTTTTGCCAGGCACTGTGCTTGCTGTACCTTATTTGGTCTTTACACTTTTACTAGATTAGTAAGTACTATTCTCATTTCACTGGAGAAAAAGGCAGAGAGAGGTTAAGTAATTTAGTGATTTAACCCAGGTAGAGGGGTGTGGCTGCTTCCCAACTCAGAGGTGTTCCACACAAAAAGGATCTGAGCCCAGACACCTTTGGGAAACACTGGGCTAAACAAAAGTAAGTGGCTTTCTTGAGTGTAGGACTTTCAGAGCTTTATTTGGCAAAGTGGTGTGTTTGTATAAAGTCAGGGGCATTAGATGTACAGTTTCCTAGACTTCTTGGCCCTGACCCTTCTGTTTTGGAACACCTATTAATATCTAGAGGCAAAATTAATACTGTGTGGAAGAGGGTTTTCAGAGTCCGACATATGAATTGAAATCATGGCCCTGCTGTCTTTGGAATTTAGCATCAGTCTCTTGAGTTTGCTCTTTCGTGAAATGTAGATCCCTGCCTTTTGGGATGTTGTGTGAATTAATTAAAATAATTTATGTTGAGGACTTTTGTAGTCCCAGAAACATGCTGAAGGTTCTGGAAGGTACTTTCTCACCACAGCCTGAGTGTTCCACTGCCCTGCCTCTCCAGTGAGCACTCAGATGCTATATCATCACTGCAGCATGGTGGGTGGCCTGTGAGCCACGAACTGTCCCTAGTACTCAAGGGGGGCTTTAACCTCAGGATGTCACATGGATTTGACTTGTCCTGTGAAACAGTGGGACCAATGCTATATACCTTTCTTTTTTTTTGTGAGACAGGAGCCTCAAGCTGTCCCTTTGGGTAGAGTGCTGTGGCATCACAGCTCACAGCAACCTCTAACTTCTGGGCTCAAGCGAGTCTCTTGCCTCAGCCTCCCGAGTAGCTGGGACCACAACACCCAGCTATTTTTTGGTTGCAGCCATCATTATTGCTTGGCGGGCCCAGGCTGGATTCGAACCCGCCACCTTGGGTGTACGTGGCTGGCGCCTTAGCCACTTGAGTCACAGGCGCCGAGCCATACCTTTCTTTTCTTATCATTTTTTTTTTTTTTGAGACACAGTCTTACTTTGTGACCCTCAGTAGAGTGCTATGGCGACATAGCTCACAGCAACCTCAAACTCTTGGGCTCAAGTGACTCTCTTGCCTCAGCCTCCCAACTACCTGGGACTACAGGCACCCATCACAATGCCCTGCCATTTTTAGAGACAGGGTCTTGCTCTTGCTCAGGCTGGTCTCAAACCCATGAACTCAGACAGTCCACCTGCCTCAGCCTCCAAGGGGTGAGCCACTGTGCCCAGCCTTATACCCTTCTTTTGTGATCAAAGATTGAGAAACCATAAGGTAAAGTTGGTTTGGGCTGTGGGTCAGGTTAGTCATGATTCCAGGCATTGATTTTACAGTTTTGTAGTAATGGTCCTGATATAAGATTGGTTTCTGTGGCAGGGGTACCTCCTCTGGGCTATTCCATTCCCAGCTGCAGGGCTGGATTCTCTCAGCCTGTCATTTCTGCTGTCACATCAGGCTGTGAGGAGACAGTACCAAGTGGGACTTCCCATTGTCCTGGCAGAGGGAAGTCTAGAGCTGTGGGGTAGGAACAGGCAGAGAGGACAGAGAGCAATGCCTCGGTGAGGGAAAGCATAACAGTTCAGGCAGTCATGCCATGTATTCTTTTGTCTCCACAGACATTTTGCTGTCAGCTGGAAGAGCTAATCCGCTGGCTGTATAATGTTGCAGATATTACTGACCACAAGACTCTGCCCAGATCCAATCTCACGGGTCTCAAGTCTTCTCTGCAGCTTTACCGGGTAATAATGTGGTCCTGGCTCTGGCTTGTTCACTCATGGAGTTGTGGCTAAGTTACTTGATTACAAAGTAAAATCTCAAATAACTGATACCTGGTATATTGTAATTCAGTTGATGGTTGTACCTGAAATCTAATCAGATGCCCTTTTCGAATTCCTTATTGATTGATTGATAGAGTCTTTGTCACCCTCAGTAGAGTGCTGTAATATCATAGCTCACAGCAACCTCAAACTCTTAGGCTCAAGCGATTGTCTTGCCTCAGCCTCCCCAGTAGCTGGGACTACAGGTGCCCACCGCATCACATGGCTGTTTTTTAGAGATGGGGTCTTGCTCTGGCTTAGGCTGGTCTCAAACTCCTGAGCTCAAGCAATTCACCCACCTTGGCTTGCCAGAGTGCTGGGATTACAGGCATAAGGCAGCACTCCCCCCTTTCAAATTCTTAATGATAAAAACTTTGTAAAATGCACAAGATATTTGCCAGGCCAGTAGAATATAGAAAAAAATAAATTATGTTTATCTTGAATCAAAAATACTTTAGAGTGATTTGCAATGTTTTGCAATGTCTCAGAAATTTTTAGTACAGATGGGCCCTATTGTGAAGCCACTAGTTACAGACACCTCTTTAAGTGACATTACAATTCAGATTTTTCAGTTGCTCTAGCCGCATTCTTCATGCTCAAGCACCACAGTTGTCTAAAGGCTACCATACTGACCAGTGCCATCAGCACAGAACTGCTGGACTGCACTGCTATTTAAGGATGGGAGCTGAAATTGTACTTACAACATATACAACAGGGCATTTTGACAGTATTTAAACAAAAATCTGACACGAGTTTGCTTGTTTATATGTTTAGGTTTGGGGGGGGGTGTGTTTTTCTTTTTCATTAAGGTTTTGTTTTTTTAAAAAATTTTTGTGGATTTTTGTTATCTTGATCCTAGAGTAAGTGCTTTTAGGGTGACTATAGGTCCCAGTTTGTGCCTATTATTCTGGCATAATCATAGGTCCTCTTTCATCCTCAGAAGTGACCTGATTTGGAGGGTAAATCATATAGTTGTTATCCCTCAGCATGATGTTAACCTTGCTGAACTACTGACTGATTTCTAGCATATCCAGATAGCCAAGCCTTTCTAACCTCTTCATGAAGGAACGCAGGTAATATCTGTGGTTTCAGCTTGATGCTAGTATAGATGGAGTTTTCCAGGACAGTTCTTCAAATTTCTGCAACCTTATAGCCTAACCAAGCATAAGAGGGTGTGATTTACATGTGCATGAGCCAAGGCTCCACAGCCCGGCTGAGCTGACTTGGGCCCTTGCTGGGACCACATCCCAGCTAATAGATGCCTTTGTTTTCCACCTTGGAGCCAACTTAAATTTAGGAGAGGAACATTCTCTGGCCTAAGTGGGCTGGACCAGTTTCTCTGCCCTAGTGGGGATGCTATTCCTGTGGTGTGGAGAGGTTACCGTAAGTCCCTCCCCCAGAGTGAGGTGAAGGGAGGAAAGGATGGCGGAGTCCAGGGGTCCTGTGTGCAGACTGCATTTGTGCGCCTAGCTGTGCAGGGCCCACCCCCTGGAGGTGCAGGGTAGTGTACCACTACAGGAAAGGAACCTACCCCGTTAGACTTAACTGTGTGGCCTTTCTATACTGGCAGACTAGGTACAAATAGATAACTCCATTCCCTCCTTTTACTCCTCATGCCATCAGCTTCAGTTTCCAAGCTAGCCAAAAGCCATTTCGTTTTGTGGGTAGAGCTGCGATCTGGACTAGGATTTACCCCTAGGTCAGTAAGGCTTAAGCCACTTAGGTCACCCATTCAACTAGGTCACAATGTGGGACTAAACCATGAACCCTTTCCCCATACAGAATGGTGCATGGCTTATGCGTACATCTAAGCTACCTTGACTTGTGCTTAGATGAAGACCTACTTTTGTAAGCAAATGTGTATATGTTCACATATCTTAACTGTCACTTATTTTCTTACATACTTGCACTTTCTCTTAATAACACAGTAGGGTTGAGGTAGCATATAAACCACATGCAGGCATCCTCAAACTTTACAGCCTGCGGGCCACATGTAGCCCACCTAGGACATTTATCCAGCCGCCGCGTGTTTTTGCCGCTGCTGCCTGTCCTGCTTAGCAGCCGACTTGTCCCGGGGCCTGCAGTCCGGCCCTCCAACAGTCTGAGGGACAGTGAACTGGCCCCCTGTTTAAATAAAGTTTGAGGACCCCTGACATACAGTATCGGAGAATAAAATAATATATAAGTATAGGCATCAGGGCAAAGGAAAACTAAAGATAGGAAAATAGTAAATCACAAAGTAAAACTATGGGGGCGGTGCCTGTGGCTCAGTGGGTAAGGTGCCAGCCCCTTCTATTGAGCATGGCGGGTTCAAACCCAGACCTGGCCAAACTGCAGCAACAACAACAACAACAAAAATCAGCCAGGTGTTGTGGCAGGCACCTTTAGTCCCAGCTACTCGGGAGGCTGAGGCAAGAGCATTGCCTAAGCCCAGGAGTTGGAGGTTGCTGTGAGCTGTGTGATGCCACGGCACTCTACCAAGGACAATAAAATGAGACTGTCTCTCTAAAAAAAAAAGAAAGAAAAGTAAAACTATCACTTTAAATTGTTAAACACCAAGTTTGGCAAATCAAGGATTTCACTTCACACTTCTTAGCTGCTAAAAGAACATTAGAGCCAATCAGCCTCAAGGCTTGGTGGCCATGAAGGGAGAACAGATGAGCTGCTTGGGTTACCCTGGAGGACTGCACTGCTTGAGGACGCCGGAGAGAAGCTGAGGTGGTCAGCTGAATGGCAGATCTCTCCTGGTTCAGCTTTGACAGCCCCCTTAGAATAGAATCATTTATTCTGAGTATCCTCTACCCTTGTGAGTTCAAGAAAGCCCTCTGAGGTGTGGGCACTACAAGGAAACCCTCACTCCAAGCTATTCCAGCTTCTTCCATAGAAAAGAAAATCTTCTGATGTCAAACTAAACAGAAAAAAGAAAATGTTGATGCTATCTACTTTTAGATCAAAGAGAATGAAGTTACAACCACTGCACTGTTTACTGGGGAATTATGCAGACTGGGTGGGGTATAATCTTCCACATTAGAGGGGAATTGAGCTACCCTGCATGGTGCTCATTTCGAATAAATTTACAAAACGATAGTAAACAAAGCTTATTTGTTTTCTTTTTCTGATATGTTTTAAGCAATTTAAGAAAGATATAGATGAACATCAGTCCCTGACGGAAAGCGTCCTACAGAAGGGAGAGATTCTTCTTCAGTGCCTGTTGGATAATACCCCAGGTGAGATGCTCGAGGTTTTGAATTTAGCCAGAGCTCCGTCCCTCTCAGCAGCAAGCCCAAGGGCTCACATTGTCCCTGATAAGGAGCCAGTATTGCAAGAGCCCTGCCTCCACATACCCACTGCCTTAGATTCCCTTGGTCTCTCTGCCACCAGCCCTGTAAACTCACAGGAGGCATAGTCATAAAAGTAAGTCCATTAGAAACTGGACAGCAAGCCTGCAAGAATGACTCTCTTTTGCATCTGCATCTGTATTTTTCTAGTGGTGTTCTGGCGGGGAATCCTGGTTTTAATTCAATGGTCCTTAGTTTGTAGCTGGAGTATTCAGTGGGTATCCCTAAGTGGATCCCTACCTCACTCAGCTCAGGTTGAACGCTCTGGTTGTCTTCTGTTGGTTCTGATTTGGGAAGGCTTTTTTTTTTCCAGAAAAAGATTGTATTGATCGAAAGGATTTGAAGGCAGTCTATTCTAAGGCAATAGACTGAAGTAGTGAAGTAATGAGGAATGGGTGGCAGTAGCACATGAACCAAGCTTGTGCCCATTCTGTATGATGAGTTTCCCCAATTTAGGAAAGTGTAAAAACCAGACTTCAAGAGTATGCCCAAGGATTTATGTTCCTTATTGTCTTTACAGGGCAGAGGGGTGAAGATATGATATGGAGGATAAACTAGGGGAGAATGCTAGGTTAAAGCCTTCAACTGAGAAGACTCCCTAAAGCAGCCCAATTTCCTGTAAGACTACAGTGAAGTCCTAAGAGATCCCTCTATATGATGCCTGAGTGTGTGTTTTGGAGTGAGGTGGTATTTACACAGGTATCTAGCAGCATGAGCAAAGCTGGGCAGGCCCTGGGGACTTGAGGCAGTGAGGACACGCTTTCCTTGTCAGCGCTATGGCAAGTGCATACTGGAGATAGGTCAGAGCAGGGCTGGTCACAAGAGCCTTTGCTATGGGGGTTGCCCTATGCATTGCAGGATGTTTAGCAGCACCCCTGACCCCACTGGATGCCAGCAAATCTTCCCGTCCCCCACAGTTGTAACCATCCAAAATGTTTCCAGACATTGCCAGATGTACTTTGGGAAGAAAAATCACTAGGGTTGAAAGCTGTGACTAGGCAGAGGGGTTTTGATGGACAGGGACCACTAAGGGTTTCCAACAGGTTAGTGATTTCTTGTGTGTTTCAAGTGAGCCCTTTGCAATCCCCTGCCTTCTTAAGGCCTTTGAGCTTCTCTGGTGTTTTCTTACATGAAAGTTCTAGGCTTTTTATTGGGGGCAGAAATTACATGTGCCTGGCTCTTTTGCTACTTATGACAAAAGCATTTTACTGAACATTTTCCACAGGCCACACAGTGGGCACATGAATTTTTTTCATTTAATCACAGCCTTGTAAGATGGATATGTAATATTACTGCTCTCATCTTACAGAGGTGTGAATTTGTGTCAGGTCATAGGTGGAATGATAGGCTGGCTATACACTGGCTCCCCGCTGCTGCTATAAGTGTCCCAAGGTGTAGAGGCCTGAGCAGGTCAGTAAAGACCTCAAGTACCAAGAACCTCCTCTCTTCACAGAGGCCATATGTAAAAGCAGCCTAATTTAAAAAGCTATAGGCTTTTGACCTTCATTTAAAAAAATCAGTTCAGGGCTCGGCGCCTATAGCTCAACCGGCTAAGGCGCTAGCCACGTACACCTAAGGTGGCAGGTTTGAATCCCCAGCCCGGACCCGCCAAACAACAATGATGGCTGCAACCAAAAAACAGCTGGGCGTTGTGGCGGGCGCCTGTGGTCCCAGCTACTTGGGAGGTGGAGGCAGGAGACTCGCTTGAGCCTAGGAGTTGGAGGTTGCTGTGAGCTGTAATGCCACGGCACTCTACCCAGGGGGACAGCTTGAGGCTCTGTCTCAAAAAAAAAATAAAATAAAAAAAAATAAAAATCAGTTCAGGTTGGGTGCTGTGGCTCATGCCTGTAATCCTAGCACTCTGGGTGGCCTCAGGAAGATTGCCTGAGCTCATGAGTTCAGCACCAGCCTGAGCCAGAGCAAGACCCTGTCTCTAAAAATAGCCAGAGGTTGTGGCAGGCACCTGTAGTCCCAGCTACTTGGGAGGCTGAGGCAACAGAATTACTTGAGCCCAAGAGTTTGAGATTGCTGAGAGCTGTGATAGCACGGCACTGTACTGGGGGTGACCAAATGAGACTGTCTACAAAGAAATCAGTTCAGTAATATTTTACTGCCTAGTCTGTAATAAGAATATCCCATTTTGCCTTCCTCTCAAAAGGCATCTAGGGGTATTTTACTGGAGAAAATTAGAGTTTAGAGTTTTCTGTAGTTTTTCAGATATGTATCCAGGCCATTCCAGATTTACACAGTGCCCCTGTCTTCTGCCTGTTATAATTAGGAAGTTGGCTGCTTTGAAAATCACAAGTTCCCCTTGACACTTCACACTATCTCCCTAGGTAGGTGCACAACTTGTTTTCTTCCTCCAGGAAGAAACAAACTGTCGAGCCAGTAGAACCAGCACACAAAGATGCCAATTTTATCCTTCCTAGCTTTTCTTTTTACTTAGTCCCAACCAAATACAGTAGAACCTCTGTAAGTTGACCACTTATGGGACTATAACAAACTGGTAGTGGTCACAGGCCTGCTGTACTGATAACATACATGTGGTGTATGTCCAGTTTGTGAAAATTAGGTCAACTTGAGGTGTCAATGCAGAGAGATAGAGGATGATGGAGGGTCTAACTGTATTTTTTTTTTAGAGACAGAGTCTCACTTTGAGGTGGAGATGGAGAATGATGGAGAGTCTAACTTTTTTTTTTTAATTTTTTTTAGAGACAGAGTCTCAGTTTGTCACCCTCAGTAGAGTGCCATTGCATCACAGCTCCCAGCAACCTCCAGCTCTTGGGCTTAAGTGATTCTCTTGCCTCAGCCTCCCGAGTAGCTAGGACTACAGGTGCCTGCCACAACGCCCACAATCTTTTTTGTTGCATTTTGGCCGGGGCCGGGTTTGAACCCACCACCCTTGGTATATGGGTCCGGTGCCCTACTCACTGAACCACAGGTGCCACCTAAGTCTACTATATTCTTAACAGTTAAAAATAAAAGTTCCCTGAAATGCACTGGCAGTGCACAGGAAAACTGGGTAAAGGTCTGATGAAGGTGGAGGGGAAAACCCAGCCCAGCCGCCCTAACAGCCAAGCTTTACTGCACACTCTGGTTGTACTCTTCTGCCAGCTCCTCATGGTTTGTCAGGACAGCACTCTGCCCTGATGACACTGCACTGATGTGGTTTCCCTAGGGGCTGATCTCAACACAGCCAGCCTGTGTTCCTTCTCCTTTCACACATCCAAGTCAGCACTGTCTGCAGATAGGCAGCTTCCCTTCTCCCTTCCTCTGCTGGCAGATGTTGCAGCTGTGGGAGGAAACTAAGTAGTGTGTTAACACAGCTGATAAAGGCGCAGGAAACTAAGGCAGCCTTTGTGTTTAACAAATGAAATAAGTTTTTTTAAAGAGGAAAAAAACAAGCCTGCTATGATGCACTCTGATTAGCCCATCCCTTCCTCACATGCACACTCTGACAGTGTAGGAATGGAATCTTGGCCTCACTAACGATCTTGTTGTAGCCTGTTCTCAGATCATTTTCTTTTTAAGTCTGTAAATGCAGACCCACAGAAAAGGGTTCACAAGCATTCTCAAGTACATCATCAGACCACCCATATGTAATGATAGTCCCACTCTCCAGCCAGCAAAAGTTTATAGGACCCAGTGGCAGGGTCCAGCATCTGAATCTTTGCATGCTGTTTTTATTTCATGTAAGCCTTATGCCTGACCAGATCTGGGTGTGCCCCATGATTTTATCTCTAAAGTCAGATAACACCAGTCATCAGAGAATCATCTCTATATGCCCTTCTGTGAATTACATAATTCCGAAGTGAAACCAGTGAATTCTTTCCTCAGCTTTAATCAGAAGTTGAAGTGCAACAGAGCCCAGAATCCCTGTTGAAAAAGGTGTACATTCTGAACTACTGCCAGGTCCCATTCTGTGCAGAATGCTGTCCTCTTGTATGCTCTGAAAATGCTTACGGGCAACACTTGGCATGGGTTTTTTGGTCTAACAGCTTTGAACCTCATTGTTAGCTTTAAAGGATGTCCTTGGGAGGATTGCAAAGCAGTCTGATGAGCTGGAGAGCCATGCAGATCGCCTATATGACTCTATCTTGGCATCTCTGGACATGTTGGCTGGTTGTACCCTTATGCCTGACAAAAAGCCCATGGCAGCAGAGGAGCGCTCATGTGAAGGGGTTTAACCTGGTAAGTAGAAGAACCCAAGAAAGAAGCTGCCCTCAACCCTAGTGTTCATTAGGGTATAGAAGCTTGCTGAGCTAAGAGCTATTGGAACAAGACAGCCAATGGTACTGAAAAAGAAGTTGCTAGTCTTCCTGTGGTAACAAAAGCTTGCTGTGGTATTTCCTGTTACTCAGTGTCACCCCTGCTGCCTGCTGAGGATGAGGGTGCCCCATGCTTCCGTTTTTATGGCAGTCTGCTCACCGCCACCTCATGTGTTCTACCTCCAGGCATTCCTGACAGCACCAAGTGCCACAGAAACCCACAATACCAATAAGTATACATCTACTTCAGCCCCCACCTTAGAGACTTAACAAGTAGTGCAACTTCCTTTTGCCCCCTTGGGAAAGTCTAACAGAAGGGAAAGAAGGGCTGGGAAAGCAGGAAGGGGCCCAGCACCCACTGTAAGGTTGTTACTGTCAGTGCTTTGAATTCCACAACTGCACTGTACGTTCTCTGAAATGTCTTCTATAGGCTCGGCGCCTGTGGCTCAAGTGGCTAAGGCGCCAGCCACATAACACCTAAGGTGGCGGGTTTGAATCCCCAGCCCGGCCCGCCAAACAATGATGGCTGCAACCAAAAAATGGCCGGGCGTTGTGGCAGGCGCC